TTAAAGACCCCCAGGGTAGGAGCCAGCACCACTTCGCTTGGAAGCTGGTTCCAGATCCTAGCTGCCCTGACTGTGAAGTAGCGCCTTCTGATATCTAAGCTTCAGCTGGCTTATGGAAGGAGGAGGGGTTTAAATTCCCTCCCTGGCCTGCACTGGATTCCAGCTGGGGTCTGCTTGCATGGTGGTGCAGCAGCCCTTGCCAGGCTCTCTCAGAGCTGGGGGTTGTGACTAGGTCCCAGCCTTGGCTGGCTTATAGAAGGGGGCAGTTTAAACCCCCTCCCTGGCCCACATGGGACCCCAGCTGAGGTCTACCTGGTGGGGGCAAAGCAGCCTGTCAGGCTTTTCCCTCATTTGAGCAGGGAGCTGGGGGGCATGGCTAGACTCTGGGCAGCTTGCTGAGGGCAAGGGCGGTTTAAACAGGCTGGGGTCCCATGCAGGCCAGAGAGAGGATTTAAACCCTCTTCCCCCACTCTGCCTCAGTGAGCTGGCCCAGCCACGCCCTTTACCTCCCCCCCCCCACACACACACTGTTCAAGCAGGGAGCAGGATAAAGCATGGCAGGGGCTGCTTCACTCCCACCAGGCAGACCCCAGCTGGGGTCCAGTGTGGGACAGGGAAGGGGTTTAAACCCCACGTCCACCTCAACAAGTTGGCTGAGGCCAAGGCCTAACCACACCCCACACTCTGCTCAAGCAGAGAGTGGGGAAAAAGCCTAGCAGGGGCTGCTAAGGAGTGCCCTTACTCCTCAGCACCCATCTGGGTAACCTACTCCAGTGTTTTACTACCCTCCTAGTGAGAAAATTCTTCTTGATATCTAACCTAAACTTCCCTTGCTGCAACTTGAAACCATTGCTCCTTGTTCTGCCATCTGCCACCACTGAGAATAGTTTAGCTTCATCCTCTTTTGAGCCCTGCTTCAGATAGTTGAAGGCCACTATTAAATCCCCCCTCAGTCTTCTCTTAACTAAATAAACTCAGTTGCCTCAGCCTGTCCTCATAAGTCATATGCCCCAGCCCCCTCACCATTTTTGCTGCCCTCCACTGAACTGTCCAATTTGTCCACATCTTTCTGTAGTAGGAGGCCCAAAACTGAACACAGTACTCCCGACGTGGCCTCATCAGGGCTGAACAGAGAGGAATAATCACGTCCCTTGACCTACTGGCAATACCCCTACCAATGCAGCCCAGGATGTATTAGCCTTCTTGGCAACAATGGCACATTGCTGGCTTATAGTCAGCTTATTGTCCACAGTAAACCCCAGGTTCTTTTCTGCAGAGCTGCTGCCCAGTCAGCCCCCAGCCTGTACTGGTGCATGGGACTGTTCCATCCTAAGTGCAGGACTTTGCACTTGTCCTTGTTGAACCTCATGAGATTTTTTTTGGCTCAGTCCTTCAATTTGTCTAAGTCACTCCGAATTGTAGCCCTACCCTCTGGCATATCTACTAC